GCCTGGGCGCTGTCCCCTAGCTCTTCGGCTCAAGGCTAGCGCTCTACCACTTGAACCACAGCGCCACTTCTGGCTTTTTTTTCTTTTTCTTATGTGGTGCTGAGGAATCGAACCCAGGGCCTCAGGCATGCAAGGCAAGCGCCCTACCACTGAGCCACCTTCCCAGCCCCTGACTGCCTTCTTTGTATTGTGTTCTGCACGGTGGTAGCGATCCCTACTTGTCAGTATTTGCCAAGAATACCTACTCGGACTGTCTGTGACATTTCCTAAAACACCCTGTGTGACATGTGAAGAATGTGGCCTCACTGTCAGAAGTGAAAAATAAGCTTATTTGATGAATTGTGAATTTGGTTTGTTTTTTTGGCAGTCCTGGGACTTGAACTCAGGGCCTGGGCACTGTCCCTGAGATTCATTTCTGCAAGGCTAGTGCTCTACCACTTGAGCCACAGTGCCACGTCCAGCGTTTTCTATCTGTGTGGTACTGAGGAACTGAACCCTGGGATTCATGCATGCTAGGCAAGCACTCTACTAGGCCACACTCCCAGCCCCATAAATTCTGTTTGTGTGACAGTCCTGAGGATTAAGCCCAGGGCCTTGCACATGCTAAGGAAGGCTTCTACCGCTGAACCACATCCTCAGCACCTCTTTCATCTGGAAGCATAATCCTCCTGCTCCCACTTTCTGAGTAGCTGAGATTACAGGTGTGTGCAGCCATGTCTGGCTGAATTGCTTAAACCTTCCACACATGCTTTCGGATTGTTTTTTGTACTATCAATTATTGCCAATAGAGGATTAGAAATCTCTTACGGTATCTATTGTCCCAGACCCTGTAGGTCTCGCAGTTTTTACTTCTGTGTTTTAAAGCTGCTGAATTGAAGCATGGATGTTGGCTTTGCTAAGTTTTTATCGGTAGGCAGTGGATCTGCCCTGTCTAACACGTGCCACGCTGTCCTTCAGCTGTTACCACGGACACTCCAGGCCTGGGTGGAGTTTTTCTCAGACAGCACAAGGTGTTTAAAGAGTGGTGTATTGCTGTCATCTGTCAAATCTGCTTTGTAATTGTTTAGTTCACTTGATTGTTCTTAATAATTTAGTTTTCATTTTATATTTGTCCTAATTTTTCATTGATTGGTTTTGTTTTATCCTTTTTTTTTTTTTGCTGGTCCTGGAACTTGAACTCAGGGCCTGGGCGCTGTCCCTGAGACTCTTTGTGCTCAAGTCTAGTGCTCTACCACTTGAACCACAGCGCCACTTCTGACCAGAGTGGTTAACTGGCAGAGATGAGGGTCTCATGGGGACTTTTCTGCCTGGGCTGGCTTCAAACCATGATCCTCAGATCTCAGATTCCTGAGAAGCTAGGATTATAAGTGTGAGCCACCAGTGCCTGGATCAAATGACATTTTAAAACATCAGTGTTTCTTTTCTATCAGCCAATTTAGAGGCATAATCCTTCTATTTCTGTGATTATGAATATTTAACTTATTTTTAAAAATCTCTTTTCCACCCTCAAATTTCCCGCACTTTAACCTTGTTCTACATACGTCTGCATATTATTTTTATTGCTGCACAAGTGGGACATCTCTGTTTTTACAGTGTTTGATGTATTCACTTAGCCTGTTCTTTTTTTGGGGGGGGGTCTGGTCGTGGGGCCTGAACTCTGGGCCTGGGCACTGTCCCTCAGCTCTTCAGCTCAAGGCTAGCACTCTATCACTTGAGCCACAGCGCCACTTCTGGCTTTTTTCTTTTTGCTTATGTGGTGCTGAGGAATCGAACCCAGGACCTCATGCATGCAAGGCAAGCGCTCTACCACTGAGCCACCTTCCCAGCGCCTACTTAGCCAGTTCTTGCTCCCCATCCTTTGTGCCTTCTAGACTTTCACAGACAGGATTGCTTTCCTTCCTTCTCAAACACTTTCCAAGTTTCCTTAGAGATATAGCAGAATCAGGATCTCTAGAATTTTCTGGCCCTCCAACAGTGATTCCTGAAGGCCAAGGTGTCAGCCCCCCAGGCCACCCCCCACAGGGCAGGCAGGGGGCCGGGCTGCTCTCCCCTGCACGCCGGCCGCGAGTGTGCTCAGTGCAGAGCCGGCGGTGTGGGTGTGAGACACAGAGACGGTGGTTAGAGCAAGGACGTCATGCTTTAATAGACACAGAAATCACAAAGGGAGAGGCCAAGTGCCCCACAAGTCTCAATAAAAATATGACGTTCTTTTTACATGGCAAATTCTGGAATATAAAAAGTTTAACACTGTCTGGAAACTGTCATTTACAAAATATGTCCATGTAGGCCAAAGGTGGCTTACCACTGTGTAAGGAGCGTGAATGCCAAGTGGGGTGTGGGAGGGAGGGGGAGGGGCTCACGGGGCACCGCCGAGGGGCAGGCCCGCACACAGACCATGCGCACAGCCATTCAGTCATCTGGGATAAAACAAAGCGGGGTAGAAATGGCAGCCTCTATCTTTTGCCTCCTAAGAGCAAACCAAGTCGTCATGTGCCTGTCCAGCCTGACCTGAAGCTAGCGAGCAGCACCGCTCCACCTGGAGCCCGAGGGCCTGGGGGCGGCGAGGCCAGGCACTGGCCGGGCCACCCTCCAAGGCCCTGGTGCCTGTGGGCACGGGGTCAGGATCACGTCTCGCCTCCTACGTAACCATGTGGAGTGTGAGCGCCTTGCTGCACACCGACGTGAGTCAGCATGGAAGCTCCGCAGCTGGCCTCCTGTGGGAGTGGATCTGGTGCATGGTGCGGGCGGGTTGGCTGTCTGGCTCTGAGTCCTCCCTGCAGCTGTGAGAGGGGTTTATTGCTTGTGTTTATGTGTGTGGTCTGTTGGGCAGGGCAGGACAGGGCAGGGTGTGGCATCTCCCTGGGGGGGGAGGGGAGAGATCCAATGCAGTCTGCAAAGGGAAAGCAAAGACACTTAGAATCTGTTACCTGGGCCAGCGGCCGCACAGGTGGGGTGAGAGCCCTTGGAGCAGGAGCCTTGGGAGGGTCCAGACTGTCAAGGCCCGCCGGTCCTGTCCGTCTCCCGTAGAAACAACGTTCCAGTTGCGTTTTTTTCTCATCTATACCAGGAACTGGCAAACTTTCTCGTAAAGGCCGAGGCAAAATCAGGACTAGCATGTAGGTTCTTCTGCGGCGGGACTGGAAGATGCGAGGGGTGGGAGCCGCAGAGGCGCTTGGGGCAGAGATGCCAGCCGCCTGTGGGCCACAGCCGCCAGTCTCATCTGCGAGAGACGCTATGGCCGTCCACGCTCCTGCACGGTCGGGGCTACTTTCTCCCACTCTGATTTATATCCATTTCACTTGTACAGAGACCCCGAGACTGACAGTAAACGTGACGTGGTGATTCTGGTGACCTTGAGATTGACAAGGTTATTTTACCAATCCCCCACCCCCTGTCATTGAAACTTAGTAACTGGGACAAAATAATCCCATGTATCATTTGTGTGTGCAGTGTGAGATCTAAAACAGTAGGAGAGCAGGGCGGTCCGTGAGGCCTCGTGCTGGCTGGGGGGGGGGGGGGGTTGGCTAGAGGTGGCCAGCGGGGCCTGCGCGGCTCCGGCATTTGGAGGAAGCTGAGGCTGAGGGCGGCTGAGCGGGAGGCGGCCTGGCCTTGGCTCCTGCGTCCGCTGGTCTGCTGTGAGGTTGGTTCCTGGCTATCTAAATGCACAGTGCTACAGTTGTGGCTTTGTTCGCTCCTTTCCTCTATAACATGAGAAGCAGCTCCTCTCTGGCTGGGGCCGGGGCAGAACGTGCCAGCCTCATCTGTCCCGTGCCTGTGCCCTGCCTGTGGGCACGGCTCAGGGGAGCGCAGAGGACGCAGGAGGGCCGAGTGAGCGCCTCTCTCGGGCACTGCGGCTGCCCCGCTGGCCCCGTGCGCCCAGAGGGGATGCGAGAGTTAGCTAAAGACTGAGGACTTGGTGATTCTCAGCGTTTCCTTTTCTTATTAAAATAAGTTGTTGCTAGTTCCCCTGACCAGACTCGGTCTGGATGGCGGCGTTTGGGGTCTGGGCTGGGAAACGGAGGGACGGGAATGGAAAGCGAGGCTCTGCTATCGGCTAGCTAACCGTGGCACCTTTTTTTCTTTTCTTTTTCTCCTCAATAAGGAAACAGAATGACTTTAGTCATTTCCCTCAAAACTTGATAATTGCTTACGGATGAGTATTCAAAATTTGACATTGTAAAAACCTTTTTGAGCTTTTAAAAATAATAGCTATAAATTGCAAAGTTCTATTGATAATAAAACAAGATGTTTGTCCGTGTACAAAAAAAGGTCAGTAATGGTTTAAAAGCACAAAGTTGCATTTTAAATCACAATTGCATAGTTCTAAAATGCCTGTGTAAGAGTTACAGAAGATTCAAGTGTGGCTGACACCGGGCCCAGAGGACCCTGACCAGGCCGGCAGACAGCGCAGCTGCGGACAGAAGCGTTTGGAGGTGAATTATTGCATTGGCTGTGGGGTTCCAATACCAGGAGACCAAAGTTGCTACAATTCAGTTCCAGTCATTGGCATTTTAACCACCATCATTCTGGTTTTGGCTAAGATAATACTTTCATGTAGAATTCAACTTAGATTTTATGTAAACCCGCTCCCCCCCACCCCAGCACCTGAAGCCTTAAAAAACCTTTTTGTACTTCTGTGTATAAAAAGACTCATGTAGACCTTGTAGCAAAATATGTGTGCCTTCCTCTCCCCACCCAGGACCGTGACCCCACGTGCAGAATCCTCCTGTGAAATCACACCAAGCGTGAGAAGTGGCCCAGTGGTCAGAAGTGCCGCCCCTCGGGCGCCCGCCCCCCCGAGTCCTGGCTTTTGGCGAATGTGGCCGCAGGAGCCACGAGCGGGACCGGTGGCGGGACCGGTGGCGGGACGGGTGGCGTGTGGCGGGGCAGTGCCCCTCCCCCAGCGGGCCAGTCTGTGTGCGGCTGGCTGGCGCTGGGCGGGCGGGGGGCCGAGGAAGCGGGACCCCTGTGGTGCCGTGTGTGCCGGGCACGGGGGGGGGCACGGGAGGGGGCTTAGCACTTGGAAGAGGGGAAGAAGCGCCCGGGGGACAGGAACTTGTAGCCGTTGGCGGTGGGCAGTCTCAGAGGGCGAGTGGGGGCTGCCGCGGGGGGCCCGCTGGGCAGGGGGAGTGCCGAGGTCTCGGGGCGCCAGTGGCCGTTGGCAGGGACTTTGGGGGGCGCCTCACTGCAGGGCTGCAGAGACAGCTCCTTGAGCTCCAGCTTGTCCACGCTCTCCTCCTTCTTATTGTGCCGGGGCGAGAGGTTGAGTAGGCTCAGGACGTCTCTCCTGGAGGTCAGGGTGCCCGGCGCCCCACGGAATATTCTCATGGGGCCGGTGGGGTGCTGGGGAGCACTCTGCCAGAACATCTTCAGGTTGTGCACGGCCTGCACCTTCTCGTCGATGGCCGCCAGCTTCCGCTTGTCGGTGTCGGCGGCGTCGGCCGGGCTGGAGCGGGCGGAGCCGGTGGAGGAGTAGGAGAGCGCGGGGGACGGGGCGCTGCCGGCAGGGGACTGGGGTCCTGAGCACGGGGACACGTTCCGGGGTGACTTAGAAATGTGAGCACTGTATGGGGAGCTGGGGTACTTGAGCCGAAAGAGCGGCGGCTCTGCCAGCGACGCCGGGGTGTCACAGCCGGGCGACGGGCGCCCGCTGGCCGGGCTCTGGTCCTTGCTGGACGACTCCGAGGGGGCGGGGCTGCTGTACCCGGAGCTCACCTTGGGGAGGGACGAGCTCCGGGCCGGGGGCTTTGGCTTGACAGGGACCGGGGACGCCTGGCTCTTCTGGTGGGAGAGGACAGGCCTGCTGAAGGCGCTGGTTTCCGACGCGCGGAAGACGGTGGTGCCGCTGGGCGCCGGGCCGCCCTCCTCCCGCTCCGGGCCCCCGCTCCGCTGCAGCCGCTCCACGGCCAGCAGGTGGCTCTGCGTCTCCTCCAGGATCCTCTGGGCCAGCTCCTGGGGGTCCAGCTTGGCGCTGTCCTCCTGGGACTTCACGGTGCTGTCAGTCTCCGTGCTGGACTGGTCAGACTCGCCGGTGTCCGAGCTGGCCAGTTTGCCCACTTTCTGGAAGGGTGAGTTGGGGCTGGGGATCAGAGTCATCTTCACGGGGGAATTGGGGGTGCTGATGCTCCCCTTGGAGCTGACCGAGACCTTCATGCCTCCTGCTGCCCCAGCTCGGGGCTGCTTGGGGTCCAGGGGCTCCGTGCTGATGATGGAGAAGCCCTCATACTCCTCCTCATCTTTGTCGCCGCCGCCGGCAGGCCGGGCCTGGGGGGACAGCTGGCGCCGCGGCAGGGTCGCCCGCTGCGGGAACGCCGCCTTGGCTCTGTCGTGGTCCTGCCGTGCTCGGGGGCCGCCGCCCTCGGAGCCGCCCTCAGGTTTGGAGACGAAGCTCATGGAGGAGGCGATGGAGCTCAGGCTGTACACGGAGATGGCGTCGGAGGCGATGCTCTCCACCCCCGTGGGGGAGAACGGGGGGTGCTGGTAGCCCAGGGGCAGGGTATTGGACACAGACTGGGCCGATGCCAGGGACTCCAGGGAGGATGAGCTGTCGAGGCTGAGGCGCTTAGGGAGCTCTGTGGAATCTAAGCACAAAACATGGCGACGGCGGTTAGCTCTAATAGGCATGGGAACCACCATACGTACACCAAATACCCAAAACACCATAACCAAAAAGCCAAATGACCGGCAGGGCCCAGCCACAGCAGGCAGTTCTCCCATCCAGGGCATCTCCTGGCCTCCATCGCGCCAGGACTCCCGGGTGCGTGGGCCGCCCTGTGCCCGCTCCAGCCCACTCCGTGCCAGCGGCCCCCTTGCGAGCCCGATCCCGACAGCTCACACTGCCCTGCCCACCCCGCCTGAGTGTGTGTGTGTGTGTGTGTGTGTGTGTGTGTGTGTGCGCGGACCCCTGGGGTGTGGACAACCACACTGAGCCAGCTGCCCAAGTGGGTCAAAGCTTCCAACCAGAAGCCACCACTGAGCCCAGCCTCTGCTCTTCCCTGACCTCCAGCCCACGGCTGCCCCACTGTCAACCATCCTGTCCTGGTAAGCCAGCAGGACCAAACTCCCCAAACCACAGCCTCCGTCACAGCTGGCACCTGCCCTGCCCACGGCCGGCCTGCCCCGTGGCAGACTGCTCAGCCAGGCGGCTCAGGGCGTTTCCTCCGCAGCCACACTCCCCCTCGGGGCCTGCGAGGGACAGGTGTGTCCTGTCACTACGCCGTCCGCTCCCCTGCCTCCCCCAGCCCTGGACCCTGCTTTTGTGTTCCTCCAGCCCACATCAGCACTGGGCACACAACTACCCCGCCCGGGGACCGAACACCCTGAGAGCAAAGCGCTCTGCCCGCAGCTGGGACTCTGTCTAACACACGCCAGCGGTCGCTGCTCTCCTCCTGCCCGCCGCGGGGCCGGCGGCCGTGCTCACCGAAGAGGGACAGCAGGGCCTGCAGCGCGAAGTGCATGGTGCGGCGGTTGGCTTGCTTCCCGGTCTTCAGGATGACTTCTTCCTGACCCACTTCACAGAGGTCAAAGCCTGGAGAGCCATGGGATAGAAATGTCTGCTTCCCCAGGAAGAAGCCCGCACAGGCACGGGACCCCCATGGGGCCAGGGCAGGGCCGAGCCGGGCTGCAGCCTGACGCGATGGCGCTGCCCCCCGCAGCCGCCTCTCTGCCTCTCCTGCCCCAGCCAGGCTCTGGTGAGCCAGGGTGTGCACCTCGTTCATGTTTTGCTTTTCCGCCTGTACACCTGCATGCTCAGGACAGTACAGGCCCTGAAGGGGGGGGGATCTGCCAAGCACCCCTAATCTGTGTCTTCCACCATGGGCTGAGAGCCAGTGTTCACCAGCTCCCTTTCTGGGGCCCCCCAAAGGGCTCTCTGTCCCCCTTAGCCAAAGCCTAAGGGAGCTGCAGCCACCTTTGCTGGGGGCTCTGGTGGAGCCCAGGCCGCAGCCTTTCTGAGGGAGCCCTGGCGTGGCTACAGAGCAGCGGCCATTGGCCAGACAACCTGCTGAGCGACACGGCCTGCCTGAGTCTGAGGCCGGAGGGCCGCTGGAGCGCAGGAGCCCAGGGAGGCCCACAGGGGGGCTGCCCAGGGAACCAAACGAGGGGACCCAGGCCCTGCGGGGATAGCCGTGCCTTTGTCCCAGACACACTGCTCCGCCTGAGGGACAGAGGTGATGCCTGATGCGGGGGAGGTGGCCAGTGCTGGAGGGAGTCAGGCAAAAGCACTGGACTCCAAGTGCACCATCTCTAAGCGGAAACACTGAGGTAGGACCCAGGGCACCAGGAGAAGCGATGAAGCATGCAGCCACGGACGCTTTGTCCTACCAAGAGCGGCCAAGAACTCATGGCACCCCGGGAGCCGCCACAGCTGGACGCTGATGGACACCTGGATGGGCGCCGATGCGAAGTCTTGCTCCTTCTCCCCGGCCTGGAGCTGGACCAGCACCTGGTGAAGCTGAGGGGGAGACAGGTGTGAGCGTGCTGCCGGCCTCCCCTGCTGCAGCTTCCCCTCCGCCTGCCGCCAGCCCCGCCTGGCCTGGCCTGGCCTGGCCAGCCTCTCGCCTGCTGCCTCCCTCACGGTACCGCCTTTGGCTTTGGTTTGGAAGTGCCTCACGCCGCCTGCCCTCTGCGGGACGCCATGGGCCACAGGCCCTGTGGTCGCCTCTGCCTGGGCGTTGGAGGATTTGGGGGACTAGTCACCTCGCTCCTTTTTTCTTTATGAATTTAAAGAACTCATGTTTGGAATGAATGCTGCGCCGCGGGGCTCCTGGGGGCCCCACGGTCGCCCAGGGACCTTCCTGTGATCGCTGAGTGTTGGCTCGGCCCCGGCTGTTGGGGTGGAAGGTCAAGGGTCACATCAAGGACACAGAAGGGTGGATAGGAAAGGGGGAGTCAGAGCAGAGGAAGGGACAGACCCCCGGGCCAGCGGGGCGGGTCGGCGCTCACCTGACAGCAGTTGCTACTTAAAGTTGTACTCACCATTCCCACCATATTTTTAACAGCCTTCCGCCAGCAGATTGTAAGAAAGAAAGAAAAAGAGAGAAAGAAGAGTTTAGACTCAAGCTCAGCAGTTATGCACGCGGGCGGTGGAGGCAGCGAGAGGCAGGGACGCAGGAGATGCACAGCCAGACCCGCTGCAGCAGCTCCGCGCAGGACGCTCCCGCCCCAGAGCGGCGGCAGGCCCCAGCCCCCAGCCAGGAGCGCCCAGCTCCCGCGCCGGCCTCCGCCTTGCCCTGTGGGGGGCAGGGCTGTGATTCTAGCGTGTTCTTTCTGGAGGCCTCCTGGGCGCTGCGTGTTTCAGCGTGCGATATTCGGAAGTGTCTCCTAGTGCGGTTCACAAGCAGAGGTGGCAGGCGAATTGCAAGGCTCCAGGAGGGAACAAGTCTGGGACAGGCAGGGGGCATCAGCCCCTGGGGAAAGGTGGATTGAGGTGAGGTGGGCTGAGGCCTCGCACACTAGTGCCTTCTGTTTTCCTGTTACCTCCAACAACTGCTCTGTGCCCCCGCCAGGTGGTGGCGCCATGGCACCCCCTCCCACGCCCGGTGGCCCCCCGGCTCACCCCAGACCCCCCTCGCCAGCCCACAGAGGGGCGGCAGGTACAGAGAAGCTCCAAGGCTGGGCTGGGCCTCCCTGGTCTCCAACTGGACACCCCAAACCCCTGCACCAGGTCGGCCTTTCCGGAAGCAGAGCTCGCTCGCTCTGCTGGGCCTGGGCTCCGTGGCTTCGGGAGCGGTGGCGCGTGCGTGGTGGGGCTGCTCACGCCTGCTGGTGCGGGGACAGTGGCGGTGACGCCAGTCCCTCGGCCTGGGCCAGGGCGGGGTGCTGGTGCGGAAGGACACTCAGGAGACGTGGGAACCCCAGAGTTGCCCATGAGCACCCTGGGAACCACTGTGCTTCCAGGGCTGTGTCTAGAGAACACTCCGCCAACTGCCCAGGCCTCCCCCCCCCTCCCTGCAGTCACAGCTGGGGATGACAAGGGACCGGCAGGACCGGACCCCGTCTCCTGGACACCCCCCCCCCTTGCCAATCAAGGCTCTGGGCCGCTTACCCGGCTGATGAGCTGCTCGCCGGTCTCCGAGGCCGTGATGAGCTTGCACAGCGCGTGGAGGGCAGGAGTGGGCAGACCTGGGCCAGGACAGGGGCCTCAGCACCAGCTGCTCCCCTCGAGGGGAGGGGGCTCCCTAAAGCTCAGCGCTGGTGCCACTGATCAACAGCTTAGTCGGGCAGAGGACAGGGGTGCGGGCGCCTGGCTCCCCTCTGCTCTCAGTGGCCCCCCTTCAGGACCCCTCAGATGCTCGGCTGCTAGCATTGGCTGTGCTGCTCCCCCTCCCGCCTCTGGCCGCCAGAAAGGGGCCATGCCACTCAGACCGTGCACAGGAGGGGTGGGGAGACTGGCTGGTTTGGGGGCCCCAGGTCAGTGCAGTAGCCACGGGGACCCTGCCACTTCTGGCTCTGAGACCTGGCCTAACTGGGGCTGCGGCCCCCACTGTACCGCACCACCCCTACTGTCTGCAGTGTGGCCCCCGCAGCGCCCCACCCCTGCCCCCACTGCCCGCACCCCTGCTCAACCCACAGCACCCCACCCCTGCCCCCACTGCCCTAAACCTCTGCTCCCCTGCAGCGCCCCACCCCTGCCTCCACCACCCTAAACCTCTGCTCCCCCGCAGCGCCCCACCCCTGCCCCCACTGCCCATACCCCTGCTCACCCAGCAGGGCCTGCAGGGTGCTGCTACACTGCTGCAGCCGCTCGCCCGGGTCTGAGGTTGGGAAGAAGACGGCCGCTGGCAGGCCGCTGGCCGGGGGGTCGAGGCGGAAGCCCACGGCAGTGAGCAGGGCCCGCCAGCCGGGGACGGCACCCACTTTGTTCTCCACGCTCTGCTGGGATGTGTACATGGCGTTGCGCTGTCCGTTCTGGACCCGCTGCAGGGACTTCTCCACCTGCGGGGACACGGGCGTGAGGCCGGGCCAGGCGGAGGACTCGGTGCTGCCGTCATCGCGGGGCGTGGATGCAGCAGGGTCTGCCCCTCCCCCGCTCTTCCTCAGACACCAACTCAATTTGCCCACAAATAATTCTCAGACCAACCTGCCCCAAGAGAGCGCTGCTGCCACCGCTGCAGGTAAACCTCACAGCCTTCAAAACCTCCGTCATACCAGCAGGGCCCACCCATCCCAGAGCCTCGGCTGGCAGTGCCCTTTCCTGGATTTCTTCCACCCCTTCTCTGCTCTCGGCATGGCCGGTACTGAACCCCACCAGCAGCTCCAGAGCCTGAAACCACACTGAGCCTGCACAGGACCTCTCCCCAGGGGATCCTGCCCCGAGACTCCGGGCTAGGGGGCATTTGAGGACCTGAGTGACATTGCCCAAAAAGAAATACGTTCTTGACCTGCCTTATGTAATTGGAACGCCTCTGCACATCACCTTTGTAACAACAGCAATTTTTTTTTAAGTGCAACACAGATGCTGGGCTTAGATGCCCGTGTCGTGGGTGGGAATGACTGGCCCCGCTGACCCTCCAGCCAGAGGGCCTTGGAGACACTGCCCCCTGGGGTCAAGGAGCACCAGGGCTGGTTAGAGAACTCAGACTCTCCCCAGGAGATGAAACTGAGGAAGAGAACCCATCATGAGCCTGAGGGCTGGGGCAGAGGCGCCATCTGAGAGACGCAGTCGGGCAGCAGCCGGGAACGGGGCCTGGCGGTGATGGAGACCCAAGGAAGCCCACCGCCAAGTCCCTGGGGAGCCCTGCGGTGAGTGCTTTCTCTCCTCGTCCTGGCGAGGAGCCGCAGCTGCCTGCAGAGGTGCAGCCTGCCCCCCTGGCCCCTGGGTCCTGTGTGAGTGCGCTGGAGCTGGGGTGCCACTGCCCCACCCTTCATGGACTGCTGGCCGCTGTGAGAGGAGGTGGAGGAGGCGTGGCGGGGCCCCCGGTCAGCGTCGGCCTAGGTCCTGCTGGCCCTCAGCCCACTGCGGCCAAGGGTTGAATGGGATGGGAAGCTGACTTCCAGGAGGAGGCAGGGAATGGCTTTCACCTTCCTGTTCTTGACTTAATAACTGCGCGTGTTTGTCTGCTAGTCCCGGGCTTGATCTCCGCACCTGGGTGCTGTCCCTGAGCTTATTTTGCTCAAGACTAGGGTTCTCCCACGTTGAGCCACGGCTCCACTTCTGGCTTTTTGGTGGTTAACTAGAGATAAGAGTCCCACAGATTTTCCTGCCCGGCCTGGCGTTGAGTCATGATCCTCAGAGCTCAGCCTCCTGAGCAGCTAGATTACAGGCGTGAGCCACTGTGTGTGATGGCTTCACCTTTGCGGGCATGATGCGTGGCCTCTTAGCAGGCCTTGAAGATGTGGGTGCAGCCAAGGCAAAATCAGGCTCTGCCCCACCTGAGCGAGGAGACACTGGCGTCAGCTGTCAGAGCAGATGTGACAGTGCGGGCCCTGCTGTGTGCCAGGAGCTGGGAGCTCCAAAGTGACCTGCCCAGCCAGGAGGCATTGGTGGGGGATGCCAGCCCCCCCTCCCGTCCCCGCCCCGCCTTACCAGGTGCAGCAGCACACGCAGAGCGTCTCGGGCCCGCTCGGGGTGCTGCAGGATCTCTGTGAGCGCCTGGCCGATGAGTGACGAGGGGCTGTTAAGCTTCACATCGCTCCCGATCAGCATGAAGCCTGTGGAGGGCAGCAAGGAGACCCCTCAGCGGGCAGCTGACAGCCCTGCGCTGGCCCCAGCGGGCGGCCAGGCGCAGGCCGGTGCCCACCCGCTGCCGGCCCTTCGGTCCCCCGCCCTTCAGAAGCCAACACTGCCCAGCTGTGCGGCATGTGCACGCCACCGGTGCGGTGTGCGGTGCTGGGGTGTCCCGGGGAGCTTCGGGCTGCTCCCTGGGCTCCTCTGGGTGCTGCTCCTGAGGCCTCATGCGAGGCGCCCCCCGCCTGAGCCATCTACCCCTCGCGCAGAGCAATGCTGCCACTGGGAACAGCCCGTCTCTGACCGGAACGCCTGCCGTATGAAGCCCCGCCCCTCTGCCCACAACGACCCAACGATGGGCGGGGCAGTGGGGCGTGTGGGGCCAGCACCACCGCAGGCCGGGGACACGCAGCCCAGGAGACGCAGCCTGGACCGGCACTGGTGCCTTCCTGTCATCTGCCCCTGGCATGCGTCCCAAACGGAGTGTCGTGGTCACAGTGCTCACCAACTACCACATTCTCGCTGTGACACAAAGGGCGACTGGCACCACCGGAGACCCTGAGCAGGCCTCGGGCCTCGGGGCCACAGCCTTCCCTGCCTGGCGCATGCGCCCGCCTCCCCCGCTGGCCCCTGGCCGCCGCCTACCTGCCCAGTTGGAGGGGTGGGAGAAGGCCTTGCTGCTCTGCACCACCTTCATGGCCTCGCCCAGGGCCGCGCTGGCCTTCAGGCCGTTCAGCAGAGAGGAGTAGAAGGCATGGATGAACATCTTGGAAGCGGCCACGGGCACCGGCCACAGAGCCACCAGCACACACTGGGCACCGGCAGCCAGGAAGGCCCGTGTCAGCGCCACCACCCCATCGGCTGTGACCCGGCCGTTGGCCTCCTGCGGGGACCCGAGCACCACCAGCTTCACGGGCAGCCGCAGGTCCAGGAGGTCGGCGGCCGTGAGCAGCAGCTCCCGCAGGGGCGGGCAGTCCGAGATGCTCTCGGCATCGCTGGCGTCGTCCTGCACCCGCAACGACTCGGGGATGGTGTAGGGGTGGCCGAAGGAGCTCTTGCTCCCGGCAGGGTTGCCGTCCACGCTGGGGGTGAGCACCAAGGCGGAGAGTTTCCAGGAGATGTGGGTGGCGAAGTGGACGCACTCAGCCTGGGTGAGGGCGCTCATGACCCTCTCCTTGGTGGCCACGCTGCCCACCAGGGGCTGGCAGCCCAGCAGCTCGGAAACCATGTAGGCCTCCTCCTCCGCCGAGGGCATCGGCCCCCACAGCCACCTGTCCATCACGGCTGATGGGAGCTTGGGGTTGCCGATGACGGCCGCCATGGAGGTGGAGCCGGAGTAGGTGGGCGGGGTCTTCCTCAGGTGGCCCTAGGAGGGGACACAGCAGAGGCTGCTGGAGGGCGCGGCTGGCATCTCAGTGGCTTCCAGAGGTGGGATGCCAGTGTGCCAAGGCCTGGCCGCGTGGGGAGCAGGCCGCAAGGGCACACACAGCACCAGCACAAGCTCTGGGGCGCGGAGGAGCAGGTTGTGGTCCCGGGACTCGCGCTGTTCTTGGGGAGCAGCGATGTCCGGGGTCTCGTGCTTGCCTTGCTGCCCGCAGCGTCGGGAAGCTCGCGGCAGAGGCTCACGGAGACCTCCGCGCCTGCGCCCGCGCCTGCGCCCGGTGCTGCCAGCCCAGGGCCCGGCGGGAGACCGCTCCCTCGCACCTGAGACGCACTCAGCCCCCGAGACACGCTCATGCGGTTTCCGCTTGAACTCATTTTGCTTGTGGAACATTGTTCCGCGGCAGAGCCCACATGAAGATCTCCAAAACCGAGAAGCAGAAACTGACCTCACGTGAACTGGGCAGGCAGCGAGGACCGAAGGCGGGCTGGCCCCCCCCCCTCCAAAACCGAGAAGCAGAAACTGACCTCACGTGAACTGGGCAGGCAGCGAGGACCGAAGGCGGGCTGGCCCCCCCCCCCGCCGGCCCCGCCCGGCCTGGGCGCCTTACCTTGGAGTGGGGGCCCAGCGAGCGGATGGCGGGCACGGCGATGAGGGCGAAGCGCTCGTACAGGTACTCGTTGGAGGCGCTGCCCTTGAGGAGGGCGAAGGGGATGAGGTAGAGCTCCCCCTCCAGGACCAGGACCAGCTGCCGGTGCCGGCCCACCGGGCCGCTCGAGTGCATCAGGCCCTGCAGGGGAAGGAAGCGTGCGTGACTGCCGTGCGGGGAGGTCTGCTGGTGAGCCAGGGCAGTGTGCAGGCTGGGCCAGGAACGAAGGCGATGGTCCGCAGAGGCAGGTTTCTGCAGGAGGCTGCAGCACAGCGGCGGGGTGGGGCCGGGAAAGCTGGGCCGGCGCTGGCACCCTGGGCGTCAGCCAGTGGGAGCTCACCTGCCGGCCATGGGGCCACGCCGTCGGTGGGGTTGGAGGGCTGCACTCCAGGGCCTCTGTGACTTGGGCCTTGGTGCCCCACCTCTGAGGTGGGTGTCCCCGGCTGTACTGGGTCCCCAGGAGACGACGTGGGCTATGAGAACCCCATCCCTCCTGAGAAGCCACAGGAGCACAGCCATCGTTTTCTCCAGTAAGGCCCCACTGTGACCCCAAGAAGAGGCACTGCAGCTCTGAAGATGATTGCGAACTTGGGGAGGCAGATATTTGGGGGGTCTGTGGAGCTGGCTGGTGGGTGTCGGCCAAGGCAGGGCTGGGCAGCAGCCACACGGTGCAGCAACCCACGCTGCACGTGACAGATGACAGCCGCGGCCGGCGCTGTCTGCAGATCTGTCAGCGGACGAGCAGCCAGCAGAGTCCAGCCAGCCCTGTCAGAGAGTTCGCCCCCCCCCCCCCCGTGTGTCCAGAGAACACACAGGCTGATTCTCCTATGAACTGGGAAGCTGGCGCGCTGCGGGCTGCCGTGGCAGTGAGGGGGACAGCTGCCCGGGGGGCTGCTCTTGAGGGCCGGGGAGGGCATTCCAGTGCTCTTGTCTCAGGCCGTCCTGCGTATCTGCCGGGTGAGGGTGCGCATTTCTCATGTCAGAGGCACTGGGTGCCAAGCTTTGTCAAGAGAGTGAAGCCTGCAATCCTAGCTGTCCAGGAGGCTCAGAGCTGAAGGATTGTGGTTAAAAGCCAGCTCTGAATGGAAAGACAGACTCCAAAATAACCAGCAAAAGTCCAACTGAAGGCAAGGCTTGAGTAGTGGACTGTGCATAAGAACGCGGAGTGAGCGCACGAGACCTTGAGTTCAAAGCCTGGTACTGGCGCGCGCACACACACACACACACACACACACACACACACAGCCTGCCCTCCTGCAGAAGGGTGAGGACACCCCAGAGCCTCCTGCACAGGTCCAAGGGTACCCCCCGCCATCTTGCTGGCGGCGTGCTCACCGTGTCTTGCTGGCGGCCCCTCCCTCCCAGCGGTGAGGACACGCAGCTGCTGCACCTTCCCAGCCACGCGGGCCCGCCTGCGTGCCCCGCGCCCAGAGGTGAGGGTTTCCCGCTGCGTTGTGGCGTGGAAAGTGGGGTGCTCCTGGGCATGGGGGGCAGATGAGTAGATGGGACAGCGGCTTGGGGCACATGTCGATCCCAGGGCAGCTACATCCTTTCCCACAGGCTGAGGCCGGGAGCTGCCACGGCCGGGGAGGGGTGGGGTGCTCGGGGAGCCTGCTGCTACCCCGTTCCTGTCTCCTCGTGGCTATGTTTCGGTCCCCCCACTCTCTGGCCTTTGCAGATGTCCCCATAGTTAAGCATGGAAATGACCTCCATCGCGATGCAGCTCCAGCATTCAACCCAGGGTTGAGGGGAGACCTCATCTTCACCCAGCATTGCTCACAGCTGTTGGCGGAGGCCCTGGGATTGCCCTGAGCCAAGCACCCAGACCTGCGCTCTCTCAGGCCAGAATGTTCCGCAGGGGCTGAGCTCAGGCTTGGAGCTACTCTGGCCCTCGGGGGCACACAAGGGTCGCGTGCTAGCTGTGTTTTGGTCCCTGGAGGGCCACGGCGGGGGCGGGGGGGGGTCGCATGGTGCCTGGGGTTCTGAGCTGCTTCCAAAGCAATGGTGTCTACTACCAGGCTGTGTGCACCCAGATTTTGGCTGAAGCGTGCGTCCGCGAAGCCAGAGCCCCAGGTCCCCCCTCTGGAAGCGCGGCCTCCTGGCCCTCGCGCGCTGCGTCGGTCCTTGTCACCTGTGGTGGCCGCCTCCTTGTGGAGATGGGCGGCCTGGGGTAGCTGCTGTCCTCATGTGAATGCCGCCACCCGTGTGGGGTAGCTGCTGTCCTCATGTGAATGCCGCCACCCGTGTCTCCATTGGGACTCAAGGGGGCTGCGGTCCAGGGCCTCAGCCCCGCTCCACACACAGCACAGACCCAGCCCCGCTGAGCCCCCACCCTGCCAGCCTGTCCTGCTGCTCCCGTCCAGGCTGAGTGCGCCTCGTGCTACGCGACTACAGGGGCCATTTTGCAACACAAGAGAGTCGCTGTAGGAAATCCTTGGCAGAGCCCTGGCGCCTGCCTGCCCTGGCACACCCTGCCTGCTCCGGGTGGGAGGTCTGGGCCACGGGTTCGGTGGAGAATGGGCTGTGGGTTAGCCGAGTCTTCCCCAGAGCAGGTGAACGGGCTGCGTTTCCTTTCTCAGCCCAGGTTTCTCGTTTGCAGTCTGAAACTTCTGTTTGTAAGACTTGCTGATAGAAGATGGAACTAACATGAACCAACGATGGGCCTGGTGGAGCCGATAAGCAAGCGGGGCCTCCGGGAGTGTGCTCAGATCTGGGCGTCTGAGGCGCATGAGCGGACCTGGGCGTCCGGCGCTCACCCAGCCTCGAGGCCACGCGGCTGGAGCCGGGTCGGCCCCGTGCAGCCAGACGCTGGAGGAGCAGCTGTGCCCACTGCCCGAGGTCCCGCCACCCACGTGCTGCTGCAGCCCACAATGAGCCCTTTGGGCTGTGCCTCCGCACGGTTGGGACTGGTCCCATCTGCCCTGGCATCCTTCACTCTGATCTGATTAAAACAACGCCACAAACACACGCCAGGCCCTTTCACACCAAGCACTCGCAACTTTCCCTCTGACATCTCCCCGGGGTGTCAGACAGGACGTGGCTTAACGGCTGGTGACGGCTGGAGTGCTGATGTAAGACGCACTTGCCGTCCTGACAGCGAAGGACGGCGCTCCAGGGAAGAGCGGGACGTCAACTCAAAGGCCAGTGGGCGCCAGCGGTGGAACTGCTGCCCTGCCCCACTTTCCGTGCTGGCTGGCCTAGTCCCCGAGCAGAGGGGCAGCCGCCACACGAAGGCAGTCGCGCGCTCAAGCGCTCGCGTGCCCGCGCCGCGCCCCCAGGTGCCTCGGTCAGACCCTGTGCCTGGCGGTGGAGAGTGGTGTCCTGTCGCCCTCTGGTGGCCTCAAGAGGCAGCACGCTTGGAGCAGGAGGAAGCAGCACCGGGTTCCCTGCTCCACGGGCCAGGGGGAGAATGGGGGTCACCCAGGCTGAGCTGCCCCTGCCCCCCAACCTCGGCACACGCCAGTAAGCACTTGTTGAATGCAGCCGGAGACAGGGGACTTCCTCCGCACTCCAGCTCCAGTGGGGGCGCCGTATTGTCAAGATCAGCGGCTGGCTGAGACCTGTCTCTCTCTGTGCTGCCGGGCTGGCCGGCTTGCCCGGCATAGGCGACACACCACCCCTGGCACCCAGCGGCGGCCCCTGCTTTGCTCGCTTTCATGGCTTCAAAGTTTTACTCTGGGATTCATCTGAAGAAGCCTAACTCCTTCAACTGTTAAAACACACGGCTGACAGCATTAACAACAACAAAAAATCTGTAGCTGTCAAGACCCAGAGACGGCTCTCACCCTAGAGATGGGCCCAGCATGCCCAGCGGGGACCCGTCCCTTCCTCCAGCCCTCCCCCCATGGTGGATGCAGGCCCTGGTGCTGTAGGAAACTTCTGTATTGGGCAGCGTGACCTCCTTCCAACTCCCCCCACCAGCTGGCAGAACCTTCCTGTCGCTCTAGGCTCGGGTCCCTAAGCTGCCCCTTCCTTGCGCCATGGAAGGGCATCTGGCTGTCCAGACTGGCTAGCACTAGCCAGTGAGCACATCTTATTCTTTAAACCACAGGAGAGTCCTGAAAGACTGGAAGACAGCCCACTCCCTGTGCCCAGGGATGCCAGCCCCCCCCCCCCCGGGGAGCTCTAGGCCTCTTGCCCTTGGCCTCTGACTCCGCTGCTGATTCCTGCCTGGGGACCCAGCCTCACCCTGCCCCCGCTCTGGGAGAGTGTTAGACTCACTGTGGAGACCCAGCGGCTGAACACAGAAGCAGCTCTGGACCACCTGTCATTTTATGAGCCACACACCGGGCCCTGTGATGGCCCCAAGAGACAGTCCCTTCAGGGACCAAAGGTTGAATTGTGGGTGGAGAATCAGAGGCATCCTGACTACTTGGGAGGCAGAGACCGGGAGGACCACGCTTTGAGGCAAGCCTAGGGAAGAAGTTGAGACTTTGCATACCAACAAATAAGTGGGGCGTGGTGATACACGCCTGTAACACCACCTACGCAGGAGGCACAGGCTGGAGGCTTGCAGTTTGAGACTAACGTGGACAAAAATGTGGGACTCTGTGCAAAAAATTATGAAAGCAAAAATGGCTGGGGATGTGGCTCAAGAAGTAGAGCACCTGTCTGGCCCTTGTGAGACTTTGATTTCAAACCTCAGTGTCATCACAAGAGACTGAGGGGCTCCATCTTGAGCCCAGTCCAGTGTCCAGTGCTGGAGGCGCCCAGTGTGCAGCAGTAAGCGCTGCCGTGGCAGGCGGGAGAGGAGGCCGGGAGGCTTCTGCGCGGAGGCTGTGGCCTCACAGCACAGGATGCCAGTCGCAGCCAGCTCCCCTGGTCCCCTCTGCTCTCACCCACCACCTCGGCCGCCAGGGGGCCGGGCTTGAATGGGGATGGTGTGCTGCGGAGGGGAGGGAGGGTGAAAGTATATGGCTGAACAGGCCTCCGCAGCAGGGAGACGGCATGACCGGGCTCACCACTTGGTCTATGAAGGTCCCCCTCACCAAGAACTGTCTGAACTAAGTGCGTGGAGCCCAGGCGGGCTGTGTGGCCACAGGACACCTGGCAGGCCACCTGTGCCGGGGCCACCGCCACCGCTGCGGAGTCAGTGTTCCTGATGGGTCTGAGGCCCCTTCTTAGCAGCAAGCACAGCCCTGGCTTGAGGCCATTGGGGAGATTCCGGGATGATGGATGGGGAACAGAGGCATCCCTGGGTCTTAGGAAGCGCCTGGGTAGGTTTCCCCACAGGCAAAGTCCCTGTCTCCCGGCGCACGGGAGGGCGCCTGGCCTGTGTGGAGCCGTCCTACAACTCCAGCCCGGCCCTGCCAAGAAGACAAGGCCACTTGGGCAAGCGAGCGCCTCCTGAGGCGGGGAGAAGCCACGGCTGGGGGTGTCTCAGCCCGTCTTTGTGTCTCAGAAGCCACACAGCCCAGAGCTGCTGCATGCCGGGGTGCACTCACCCCTTCCATGGGCGCGATGAGCAGGTCGTAGAGGGCGCGGAGCGGCGCCTTGGCCAGTGCGCTCTGCCTCCTGGGGAGGGAGGAGGGCCCGTCCTTGCTGGGCGAGGCCGTGTTGCTCAACAGGCTCGTCATGCTCTGGCAGCTCCTGGGGAGAGGGTGGGGAGGGGAGTCAGCCCGCGGCGGGTGGGGATGGGTGTGCGGAGGGGGCCTGCTGCCCTCCCCGCCCGGCTCCCCGTCCCTGGCAGGTAATTTCCACACCACAGTGAGCACTGTCAGAAACTGCCGGCTAAACCCGCTGCGCACAACAGCTTACACTTCTGTGGCATTTTCCTACATAATCAAATGTCCCCAAGTGCTGCTCACAGGACTTAATTACATCCTGCGTGGGGTGATTGTGTGCAGGCGAACGTGGGGACCCCGACAGACGGGGCTGAGGGCAGCGCTGCTGGCGGAGCTGCCTGCGGGGCACTGGAGCTGCTGGGCGGGCCGGCAGTGGGTGTCACACAGGTGTCACACCCTGCCTGTGCGGGCTGAGGACACTGGCGGATTCATTTGGAGACAACCCTGCTGCCAGCCAAGTGTGGTCGTGATCTCTGGACTGCAGGGGCAGCGGGGGGACGGGCTGGTGGGGATGCGTGCCCCACGGCAGAAGCGGAGGGACAGGCTGCCCTGTGCCTGGCCGTGTGGCTTAGCCCAGCCCAGGGGCTGCCAGGTGATCCATGGGTCCTTGGAGCGCTGATGTAGACCCCGCTCTGCGTGCCACCGGCCTCAGGGGCAGGGACCGTCGTGTCTGATCCCAGGCCCAGCAAGGCGCTGCCTGAAGGGCTCTGCCGCCCGCTGCCAGCAACCTGCCGGCTACCTAGCAGCCCAAAAGGGGCATTCCTGCTGAGCCCAGCCAGGATGCGCATCTGAAGAGGAGCTGTCTGGCTCCACTTTCCGTCCTGCAAACGTGGGGGCTGTGCAGCGCCCGCCTGACCTACATTCCAGAGGCACAGCGAGCTGGCGCAGAGCCGGCGGAGCAGCAGGACGGAGAGGCCCGGGGAGCCGCCCTGTCCACCGCTCCGCGGGAAGCGTGTCATTACAGGCGACAGGACACTTGGCTGGCAGAGGCAGTGAAGCGCGGATGGCCCTGGAGCGACCCGGGCCCACTGAGCACCACAGAGCACGCTACAAAGGGCAGCTCTTCCCTGAAGGGGGATTGCTGTGTCTCTAGAGGAGACGCATCATGACACACGGTGTCTGTCACGCATTGTCACCCTGTATGCATTCTCAGCGAGCCCATCCCGCCCTGCATGCATGCTGACCTCTGATCCGGGAGCCACAGAGCCATGGCTCAGCCTCCCTCACTGGCCCACCTGGCCATTGCGCAACCATCCATCTCTTGCGCCCCTGGGACCTGTGGTGGGCCCTCATCCTAGAGGTGTCTGTTTCCAAGTAAAACCAAGAGCGCAGAAACAGGTAGCAGCTAGAATAACAGAGGCCCCGCCAGCCTGAAGCCGTGACGTGAGTCAGAGACGCCCCTGGGTCCTGCACACAGAGGAGGTGTGTGGAGGCTCCGCCTCTAGCCCTGGGCTTGCACCAGCAGCACCTCAGCCAGCCACCTCCCCCTCCATGCTGATGGCCTGACACCAGTGTGGCCTGTCCCCACGGGAGAGCTGGCCCTGTGCAGCCAAGTCCAGAAGCACAGGGCAGGGCAGGAAGAGGCCTGGAGCCACTCACGGTCCCTGGGAGCCCCCCCCCTCCCCCGCACAGGTGTGGGCGGGGCCTGGAGGCAGGCCTGGCAGGACACGGCCCCCCTCTGCCACACTGTGCTCACGGGGGCTGCAGGCTGGCGGTATGCTTGCAGTGACCATTGTAGCCACCCTGCTGGGGGCGCCTGCAGCTACAAGTGGGCTGTTCATAAGGCAGCCAGCCAGCCCCAGCCCTGATCCGGCGGCCTTGTGCCACTGATCGCCTGTGAGGGGCAGGGGGCCCCTTGCTGGTGAAGCTAGGGGTGGGCTACCATAACCGCAGGCCTCCTCAGCGGGGACTGCCTGCAGCCCCGGCCACGCCTCCGCTGCGGGCCATCAGGGGGCTGCCACCGCCTGCCCAAAGGGACACAGACAAGCGGGGAAGTGCAGCACAGAGCTCGCGTCTCAGCTGGGAGGCTGCTCAGAGGCCAGAGGCGTGACCCGGGCCTCCCTCGTGCTTCCATGGCACCGGGTGGGCGTGGTACCAGGCTGCCCTTGACCTCTGAGATGAGGGGAGCTCATCCCCCCCATGGATCAGCCCTCCCAGGGCCAGTGAGGCCCAGCGACTCAGAGAAGGCAAGAGACCTGCACAGAGCTGGGGCAGGGCCGGGTCTGACATCTGCTGTGTGCTTGGCCTCACTGTGACCATGGTAAGACTGGCAGCCGCACCACCCCAGGGCCCCAGCAGGTGGCGCTGTCCCGCTGTCTTCCAATTCCCTTTCCAGCAGGCTCCATTAGCGCTAAGTGACAGAAGTTTATCACGCTGCAGGGTCTTTATGGGCTCGTCCTCTGTTGGAGAGATGCCTGTCTTCTCGGCAGCACAGAGCCTCGTGGTGGCAGGTGGGGAGGGAGGCCCTGCTTGGTGTCTGGGTGGGAGTTGAGCTGCTTGCTCCTCCTGGCGAGGGTGGGCTGTGGCCGCTGCGTCTCTGCTCGGGGCTCCCCCTCCTCAGGCACCTGCCCTGGCGGCTGCCTGTGAGCCTCCTGCCCAACCCCCTGCTCACTTTCTGGCTCAGGCAGCCTCGGGCCCTCTCCACTGGGCCACCTGCCTCGCGGGACACACGGGAGCGCGGGGCCAGACTGAAGGTGGCTCCTGTTCTGAATGTGCCACCATGGGCCGGGCTTTGCTCGGGCAGGGGCTCCCGAGGCTGGGAGCTCCGGTGGAAGAGCCAGCTGGCAACAGCACATTCAAGCACCGAGACGCACTTCTGACCCCTGTAGCCGAGTCGTGTGAACATCGCCACGGCATTTCTGCGGGACGGGCTCTGCCACCCGCACTGCCTGCCTCTCCCTCCTCGGCTGCCAGGCCCGGGCCTCGCCCCGCTGAGCCCAAGGATGCATCTGGGACCACACACGCCACTCTCTCGTTCATGGTGGCCCCAGGCCACATCAGAGCCTGTGCTGTCTTCACAGAACCACAGGCAGAGGGAAGTCTCACAACTCCAACCAGCAAACCAGATGCTGCCAGTGACACGGCCAAGTCAACGATGAGCACCAAGAACACGGTTTCTTGGAGCAGATTTCTGACAAGACGGCTCCCTGCCACAGGGCGGCCTCATCTCTGACAGGTAAGGTGGGAGGCTAAGCGCCAAGGACAGCCTGTCAATGGGCCTGGAAGAAATACCGCCTTTAAACTCCTCACTGACTTTATGATGGCAAATGTCCTGGTGAGCAGATCTGTGTGTGTATCAGCCCAATAGCCAGAGGCCCTGTGGATGCAGCCTGTGAACTATGATGGGGTGGTGTGGTGCCGTGGCGGGGTGGTGGTAGTGGTGGGTTGGTAGTGTGTGGGGGGTGGTAGGGTGCTATCGGTGGGTTGGTAGTGTGGGGGGGTGATCGGGTGGTATAGGTGGGTTGGTAGTGTGTGTGGGGGTGATCGGGTGGTATTGGGGTGTGGGGTGATGGCATGGTGGGGTAGTTGTAGCGTGGCAGGGGTGTTGACAGGGATGGGTGTTAGTGGGGTGAGGGTTGGTTACATGGCAGGCTAGTGGTGGTGGTAGTGGTGGCGTGGCGGGGTGGTGACGGGCATTAGTGCGGTGAGGGTTGGTTGTGTGAGGTGGTAGTGGTGTGGTGGTGTGGCAGGTTGGTGATGGGTGTTACTGGGGTGAGGGTTGGTTGTGTGAGGTGGTGGTGGTGGTGTGGCAGGGGTGGTGGCATGGTGGGGTGGTAGTGTGGGGTAGTGGTGGCGTGGTGGGGTGGTGATGGGCGTTAGTGGGGTGAGGGTTGGTGGTGTGGCAGGGTGGTGGTGGTGGTGGTGTGGCAGGGGTGGTGGCATGGTGGGGTAGTAGTGTGGTGGGGTAGTTATAGTGTGGTAGGGGTGGTGATGGGTGTTAGTGGGGTGAGGGTTGGTGG